CCCTGTCAATTTTATCACAAGGCAACAAAATGCAAGAGTTGTTTTGCTGGTATGCATTCAAGCTTATATCCCAAAGCTGTCACATTCTGCCCTATAGGCAAATCTGTGAGAAAATCACAAATAACTGGTAGACTTTTCTTTATATGCATTCAAACAAATTCCTTTATGGACTCTTTCTCCACAATTGTATCCAGGGACACTGGGATAAAAAGAATTAAAAGCTCTAAGGGATAATTAAAAAAAGATAATTGTAAACTTTTTTTTAACTCTCTTTTTAATGGAGGACGTTATAATATGTCTGGAGTGAAATCCTGAAGTTATATAAATGTATAAAATGTCTCATTTCATAGCAATCATAGTTTTACATAGCATCAGGGTAGAAAATCTAAACCACTGTCAATGTAAATTTGTATGGCAACGGGAAAAAAAATACAGCAGACCTACCACTTGCTCTAAACTAAAACTGGACCAGGTCAAAATCCTTGCAATATTAAAAATTTCAGCTAATTGCATTGTACTTCCGCCAACCATATATTCAGCAGGCACAAACGGCTATGAGCACACATACGGACAAATAAAATGCTGTCATACTGTTATGACATCCTTCTGCAGCAACTGGCAGAAAAGAGTTCCAGAATACTAAAGCCCTTTCCTTACCCAGTGCTGTGAGATGTCATGTTGCACCGCCTACAGCTGTGGAGCACACCAGCAACAACTGACACTGTCCTGTGGAGAACATATGTGCCCACATTACATCCAACACACTTCTAAAAGAACGAACACCAGCTGCACTGTTTCGCTAATCAGTCAGTGACTATCGAAACGCCCATGTGAGATGTCACCTCCTTCCAGTGACTCACCGTATCTACCCCATTGTCCATGCCCTCACTGGTGGCATTAGCCAAGGGCTCCACGTGAGGCCGGTACTCGCGATGCGCAGTACTGTCACACCTAACTGCCAGCCTCTTCCTGTGCTTTGAATTCTGCACCCTGCTTCAAGAGTCCAGGGCTGGGCCCACTAAGACAAGGGACTAACTTTGTCGGGCCAAACTTTCATGGATCCTAGAGCTCCATACAGACTGTCTGTTAAGGCACCTGTCACACAATCAAGCATCAGAGAAGGCAACAAAGTTCAAGAGAACTGTTCAGACAGCCTACAACACTGCCAGAGTAAATGGCATTTTTAAAATGGAAATGTATGCATGCACATAAGGATTCTTTGATCCCCGGGGCTTACACAGCCTTGCTCAGACTTATATAAAGCAAAACAGTGCTAGGGAAAAACCACTGACAGTGATATGGCTAAGATTTAGGCGTGGCATGGTGAGAAACACACGGAAAGAGGGGTAAAATTAAATATAGAGGTGCTGGGAATCAGCTCCCCAAGCCATGAATATTTTCCTAAATAATATGGCAGAGTCCCAGCAGGACATGTTGTGAGTAACATACTCCAGAGGAGCCGACAGCTCAGCGGGCATGGGCAGATCCCGTGAGGCTGAAAAGTGTGTTTCAAGTTCCTCAAGTAACTTCTGTAAAGAAAAAATTGAAGGGCCAGTCCCTGAAGTCCCTAAGTAAATGCTCTAACCATCGAAATACTTGCAGTCCTACTACCTGCCAACTTCTTTTCTTTCTCTTCGTGGACTGAGACACTGGAATTAATGTATCACAAACAGCTCCTGACAGAAGGGAGAGTTTGTTCATGCCAGACAATGCAAAGCAGAAAAGATGCAACTCTTTCTTGAGTTTTTGTTTGTTTGGTTTAAGGAACTAAATTGTTTCTCCTTAGAATGTCAATTACAAATATTCCACACATTTTCCCATGCACTGAAATGAGAAGCATTCAGTATCCTAAGACTTTACTGAAGACAACATTTAGAACACATTTTCTGAAATGAATGGATGAAGCTATCACTCAGATTTCTGAGGGGAAAAAAATCACCACTTAGACACCATTGATGCTACCAGCTTCATGTAGGGAATATCAAAGGAAAGACCAGAACTCATAAACAGCCTGGTTTCAATCAACACAAACAGATGTCCTCTATATTTTGGGAGAACCAACTGAAATAAAATGCTGAATTATGGATTTGGGTTTGCCCTTTATAACGCATGATGTAATATTTTATTCTTTAGTTGCACTATCTCAATATTGTATGCACATTCGACTAGCAGTCTATGGAGAGGGCACATGCCTGTCAGCTTGATAAATGGAAAACCTTATAAAAGATCATGACAAGGAAGAATCACCAAAACTGATGGAAAGAATGGATTAAAACTGCTTTTGCCAAAATTAGGATGATTAAATTGTCACAGACAGCAACGGCAATAGGATAAGTTTGATGATCTGATGTGAGTAAACAGCTCATAGATCCAGAACTTCCTTCAAGGACAGATGACAGGGAACTGTAATCACTGATGGATCTCCTGAGAAGCATGCCCAAAACCAGATAGACAAAGCTTCCCCTGCTGTTGGAGAGGTATTAAACTGACAAGATCATTGGAGGAGCTGTCATTTACCAAACGTGAACTTGCAATGCATGCAGATAAAGATGTGGGAGAAGTGGCTAAAAAGGTGGCAAAACCCATTAGAGGTTGCTGCTGGCGGTATGCCGATGAGAAAAGCAAATACAGTTTTCATCTGAAAAGCACTTACTTTAAAACACCCGTCTCAGCATAGACTACTGATTAGTTAAGCACCTTCAACTAAAAGCAGACTACTTTTTGTTGGGTTTATTCCAAAATGCTTGCCAAATCCTGGTTATGCAATAATTACCCAGTTTGGAAGGACACGAGTACAGCAGAGCTCTGTAGGATTTGCATGTGGATGAGGATATTAATTTGTCAAATCCAGTTGCCTGCTGCTGAGAATGGTTAATTCCTGAGACTTATGGAAAACATAAAAGAAAAACAAGCCACCAAGAACCCAACATCATCATGGGCACCTAACTAATTGTATAGTCCTCTACATATTTATTTATTAAGATTTATAAATTATATGAACCAATTCAGCAATTATAGAGCTTTTATGATAATTTAAAACTCCTGGTGTCATAATACAAATTCTGAACGGTTCCTGAGTAAATACAAACAAAATGATCCAAAACAAAAAAGAAACAGCATTACAAAAATAAAATTATGAATCAACTAATATTCCCACAGCTAACATTAGGGATCTTTTCCAAAGGGATGGATGAAAAAAAGTAGAATTTTGCTCTTGCTATTCCACACTCAGGTAAGAAATAATGTAACATTCTTATAAAATAACACACATACATGTGTGAAACAAGAGACAATGGTGTCCATGCAGACCTTACTGATACACCATATCTTACTGTTAATATTTGATGGCTCATATAACTTTTCAAAATTGATAAATCTCCAAGAATACCCCCAGTCTTCAAATATTTTAACATCTTCAATAGCTACTATTAAATAATATGACTAGAAAAGATGTCTTTCAGAAGACAAAAGCATGTGTTTCTCCCTCAAAACCTCAGACTACCTTAGGCAAGCTTTATGTAAACTTTAGATGTTTCTAAAGTTCACTTTTCCATCTAGATTCTGAAACATTCTGAAACCAGTACTTAAATGGAGCTCCAAACTTCTCTATAAACAATAGTAAGAGAAATGCATGTAAAACAAGTGGCAAGCACAAAATACATTTGTTTGTGATTGCTTCACACATTCATCCTGAATACCTGCATGAAATCTTTTAATCACACTGTTAAGACCACAGCATGGGGTTTTTTTGGTAGTCTAATTCCATGCAAATATGCCTTTGATATTCTGGACTGGAGCAGTGAAATCAGAGCATGTGCTCTAAATACACAGTGCTTAAAGCAATGCATGTAAAAAATGGTAAATAAAGCACTGTTCTACCACTGTGTAAGGAAAACATTGTGAAGAGGAAACAAAGAACATGTTCCAAATGTTTTGCATCCCATGTGCACATAATAATACATTATATCAAGTCTTTCATGCACGTTATTCCACACATTTTACAGAAATGGAACATTATGATGTTGCTGGCAAATAACTGCATTATGATTCTTTCATAGAGGCACAGACCATGGTACTACTTGTATTTGGAATTATTTCTGGTATCATGTCCAAAGTTTCTCACTTCTATACTATGATGTTAGTTTCTCAGCCATCAATGTACTGATGTAAACCCAGCCTCGAGGATAAAAGTACTCACAAAATAACAGGCATACAATTTCTAACACTATAGATGAGTCTGTAGTACAAGACATACATAATACACCTGGACAAGAAGTACAACATCATCTTTTAAAAAAAATGAATATGGCAACTATATAGGGATCATTCTTGAAACACTTAATCTATATTTAGCCAAAGTTCACCTTGACTTTAACGGGAGTTTTATTGTGAAAGATTAATGCAGCATATTACAACTGCATAAGCTTGGAATTCTTTTTAAACCACGCTGATTTTACTGCTTTAGTTCTTTACAGCGACATTTTCTGGTTTGCTACAAAAGGGACACACACTGGCAAAAATAGAAGACTGATAGCATTTAGTATATAGGTATTATTTTGTTATTTTACTAAACTAAAATGAAAATTTGCACCAACTAAAATGAAGATTGCTGTGGGTATCACACTTGAAAATGATATTTCTCCCTGTAGTAACAGAAATGGGAGCCTTCCTTAGTTATCTGTCTGATCCTTTACCCACTCGCCTGTTGCCCGGCAACTACCATCAAGGAACTACAGTTCTTACACATCCTCATTTTAATCTTGAAAAAGCAGATTAAAATTACTATGTGAGTAATCTCTTCCTGGTGAGATATTGTATTATTTCAATTTACATAGCTGCAGAAAGGAAGTCAAGCGACTGGAGAATCCAGTACTTTCCCTCTGTGAAAGGTTCATTTTCCCTGCCCTCGTACCAACTCATTTACTGATCAACACTTAAATATTGTTAGGTACTTCCTAACATTTGAGTCATAACAATAGAAGCAAGCATCTGTCACTTACGTTCTTGAATCATCCCACAGCACACAGTAGGGATTCAACGTGCCCTAAGAAGAAAACAAACAAACTTCTTAGTTACTAGTATACAAAAAAATGTGTCATGCTTGACCTAAACATTTATTTGGGTCTCCTCCTACAAGATCACGCTTATACTCTGACAAATTGATGTCCCTGAAATTGCCAAAGCTTAAGGTTAATTCTTACGGAGTATTTAAAAAGCACTTGAACCTCAAAGCAGAGTATTTGCTGTATTTTCTCTCTTAGATAAGGTAAGCACAAAGTTGCCTATTTGGTATATCCTAGTAAAATTGAAATATGAGATAAGAGTTCATCTGTTAAGAGACTCAACTTGACTGAACATTTCAGGGTGCACTTAGAAGCAGAACTTCAGGCCCTTCGGGAACCTGGATGTCAAAACCAGTAATGTCTTTAAAAATTTTAAGCATATGTTGGGCAAAATGTCTGGAGGCTGAGATTTCAGATGACCCCACAGTCAATACCCAAGACCTTTTGTCAATTAAGTCCTAAATCAGCAGAGATTTTTGCTCACAGTATTTTTTTTCGTTGAGCTTTACAATCCCAGCTCCAACCTCTTCAAGGTCAGTGGAAGATTTCTGATTTGATTTAGAACAGGATGGGAATCTAGGTTTATTACACATCATTAAACCGTGGGTAATGTTTTTGGGAAATGGAAATATCTTTATTATTACTCATGTTTATTTTGCTGCACAGGAAGAGTTGAGACAAAATTAAAATTCAAATTTTGTCCCTAATCTTGTAAATCTTCCTTTATCAAAACTGATATTGACTTAGAAGTACTTAACTGACTAAAAACTGCAAAACTGTATTCCTGTTGATCATAAACATTGGATAATCCCAGAAGTCAGAACTATATAAAAAAATCAGATATGAAATACAGAATAAAAATATATTTTTAACAAAATCACAAGTGACTTGAAGAAACAGGTGCAATATACTATTTTCTTATGTCAGCGTTAGTGTAGTTCTCTCATGAACAGTGTTGGTGCGGTAGATATAGTTTTGTATAAACAAAATACACCTTGACATTTCATTCTGAAAAGTATTTTATTTATGGAAAAAACATGGTAACCTGTGAAGTAAAAATCTATTAAATATTTAAATTCTCCTATCCACCTCTTTGTCAAAGATAAAAAAGGTCCTTTGGAAGATGCTTGTGAGGGAGGTATTTAGGGAAATTTTGATCCTCTACTTCAGTATTTTGCTGACTGCATTGAATTTTATGAGTAGAGTATAAATATTTAAAACCAACATATACTTATGGCACTTTATATTAAAATAGCACTGTACAAACATAAATAAAGGATGTTCCATTCCCTGAGGGATTTATAATGCAAAGAAGAGGAAGGGGAAGAGGGCACAGGACAAAGCACTGGATAACAGGTCTGTTGAGATTCAGAGCCCAGGTCCTGCATCATTAGCCAAAAGCTTTCAGATACATTGTTGGAAGAGAATATAGAAGGGTAAGAATTAAGAACTGCAGAATTAATCTTATTTAAAATGTCCTTTTATAAAGAGTATTAATTTACATCCTAAGACTTAGTGAAGAAATTCTACTTGCAATGTGATATAGGTATATGTGTATTTAAAAAGTACTTCTATAGCTGAATTGTAATAAGACACTGCATATTTGAGATCTGAGACCTGTCTTTCCTAGCAGTAGATGTCATGCAGTTTCTACTCGCTATTCCTACAGTGCAAGTAGAAAGAATACAAAAACACTTTCAGAAAAAACGTCCATTATAAAGAAACCCACTAAATAGAGGGAAAGAAAAGCCTTTGCAGAAAGCTGAAACACAGTAAAACTGCTGCTGTCAGATCACATGCTACACTCCCTTTGAAATGTAGTCAAATGAAAAAAAAAAAAAAAGAGTATGTTTGGCCATTGCAGTCACTAACGAGAGATTAAGCAGAAATGGGGAAAGCAGGATAAGTATCGCTCCTGTTCCTTAAGAAGGTCTTGTGTGAGGGTTTGCTCTGCCAGCCATGGCAGCTCGCAGGGGCACGGCAGCCTTTCAGAACTTCGCCCTCTTTGATATCCTGATCAAACGCCCTTCAAGTGCTGCAAAGACCACAAGGAGCCTGTCTTCCTATTTTCTTCTTCGCCCTTAACCTGTTGCGCCCTTTTTCACAGTCTTTCTGGGTCTGGTCTCCTGGCAATGTCTCCTCACACTGCAGTCGTGGAGCTACCCCCGAGAGCCATGGCTCTCTGTGAGGGCAGCAATCTTTCATCACAGCTCTTGCCAGTTCATTACTTAACTGCAGCTAAGGAAGCAGCTACTCTGTCCATTAATGTTTACGACTGTTGCTGTACTGTTTTATACACTACGGTACAGGACTTGGATATCTTAAAAATAGACATATGTGTGTGAGTATGTGTGTGTGTATGTATCTGTCTGCCTGGCGTATAAAACTGAACTTTGGAGATGTGATTGACAACTCTGACAGCGATGCAGCACAGTGCCAACTGTGTTTTGTAGCCAGGGTTTTCAGTCTCATTGAAAGCTTGATGTCCTACGCTACTGCTGGCTCGTTACTTCAGTGTCCCTGGAGTAAACTTCTGTGCTGTCAGAAGGTAAGAGTTCATATTCTCTCTGGAGCAAACAAGATTTTGTTTGATTTGTACAGTTTTTAAAAGATCACTTTGGTGTCTCTTTAATCAAACTACTGGAAAAATGTGATCACATTCATCATGTTCACAGCACATAAGACCAAATACCATGTTCTCTAAAGAATGCATTGCAACCCACCTTCTCACTGTGGTCAACTGCCTATTATATTTTAATTTATCTGCAAATCCAAGTACCATGCTATATTCCAAACAGCAGATGTAATTGTGATTTCCACTTCCTCCAAAATATAATCCTCTGGTTTTATTAATAAACTGGCTAATTTTGATATAAAATGAAGCAATGATGATAAATTTTGAATAAATGAATATTTTAAGTCTCATTTGAATTAAATATATTAACTCTTATTAAACGATCACATTTGCCCATCTTTTTTCATAATCTCTTATCTACTTAATTTAGTCAGTGGATGGGGAGGTAAAAGAACAAATGTGTGGGTTTACTCCTATATATTAGTAAGCATGCTCTGGAGGTTGTTTAAAAATTAGTCATTAAATCAATATGGAAACAAACTGTTCTGAATAACGAACAGCATTTCAAGAACAAAGGTTTGAAAAGAACAAAAATAACAACAGTAAGAGCCATTCCACAAAAACCAGATGACAGAGAATGCCTGTATTTTATTTTCTGTTTAATAACCAATCTGTTTAATTGATACCATGATTAATCTGTGAGCCATTAAGATATAATGTTAAAACTCTAAAGATACATTACTAGTTTTATCTTTCTGTATGTGACATATAAAACTCATTCTATAGCAACATATTATAATTAAATAAATTCTTGTTTTCAGCTGAGAAAATTATAGCAAAGAAGATAAGAATTAGACTCAGTCTGAAGGCAAGAAACACTCAAACCTATAAAATAGTACTTCCATGCATCTACAGCCTTAGTTCTTCAAAAAGAAGCCGCATTATAGAGGCTAAGCCTTGAATGTAAAAGTCACCAAACATTTAAAGATCTTAAGATTGCAAAACTGGTTTCCATTCCCAGATTTTCTAGAGCAATATTTTGTCATTGTATCTGCCGATCCAACTCTTATATCCACGTGGATCGAGATCCTATATAAATGTAATATGTATGGAAGTCCAATTTAAGGACTGGAAATCTGTTCCAAGCACTTGATGTTTCTCTGGATTAAATTATAAGACAAAAATTAAGCCAAAGGAAAAAAATATGGCTCTGATTATCTATTGGCAAGGTTATTGTCTTTTCGGCTTGTCAAGACATAAGCTAATACAATACTAAATAATATTCTGTTACTGAACGGTTGGCAAAGCAAGGTGACAATCAGTGTCTCTAATCTGACCTTTTGTAACAATCATTTCCAAGATTTTGACACTTGGCAAAAATTTGCTCTATAAATTACTCAAAGGAATGGATTAAACAAAAGAGAGAGGAAAATAAAAGATGAAACTCTCCAAGAATTTTCTGAAATTTCATCTTCTGGGGACAGCAGGTAAGCCTTTTGTTAGTCTAGCCTTGCCTGTGTTGTGTTGGTTTTAATAGCTTGTGCTTGGCTTGCAAGTATTTTCAATGCTGACATGTTGCTTACTAGTATTTTTTAAAAAATTTTTAATTTCTTTTCTAGCATGAGTGACCAAAGCAATTACAACTTTTTTTTTCCTGCATGCTGTTCCACACTTTTGCAAGCAGTAATTCCAATTTCAAAATATAGAAGTCGGACTCCAATATTCCTTATCTGCCACTCACATAACTAACTAGCCCCACAATCATTGTTAAAATAATGGAAATTAAAATCTAGCATTGAGAAATACCATAAACTCTTCCTAATAATGATCTCAGCAAGACCAAAACAAGTATTTTATTTCAAAGGTGTTTTCCTTTTTTTTCCTTTGATATGTAGGATTAATTTGTAGTCTATGTCAGCAAATACTCTACTACCTTTTCAGTGAAATTTCTGACAGGAACAAAAGTTATGTTAAAGACTGATATTCTCTCTTAATATATATGATGTAACTTAGGTTGGAAACAAAACAAAACAAAACCAAACCCCAAACCTACCTACCCTAAAAGATCTTAAAATTAAATAACCATAAAAAACAAAATCTCCACAATTCTTCATCAATAAACTTCTAATCTTACTGAAACATAAAGACTTCGCTCAGTTTCTGTCCCTCTATTCCTTTCTTTTTCTTCTGCTTGACTTTGCAGTAAATTTCACTGAGATGTTCTTTGTAATATCATTTTTCAGGGAACTGAAGAGTGGGTCACAATGACCATTGATGGCAAAACAGTTCGTTCCTTCTAACCTTGAGTAAAATGTAAATCAAAGATCTAGAGTTCAAAGAGTTTCCTTCATACTTTGGCCCAGAGACACTAATCCAAATTTGCTACTGACTGAAATCTTTGGAGCTCCTCCAGCTGAATTGTACTTACATGACCACTTGAGCAACTGTTTATAACAAAAAAAATCACAGCTTTACAGTCTTTTGCATAACAATACTATTTACTAAAGCTCCAGTAACTATGTCTCTTCTAATTGTCTCTTTATGACTATTTAAAGTAAACTCTAACTGTTAGTAACATAAACAGACATAGTTTATATGCCATGCCTTCCCATAAATTACTCCCATGCTTGTTATTTAACATTATTTCCCCAATATTGCACATAAAAAAATTTTCCTGCAAAAGACATATTTTATTTTCCCTCTGGCTGCTGGGAGATTGCTGACAGCAGAAAGAAAAACTGTTAATATTTTTAATATAATTAGACATAGAATTCCTTTTTTTTCAGATTTAAAATATTTTTAACATGAGATTAAAGGCTGAAAAGTACAGAATTAAAAACAACTGCACAAAAAATCTCAAACATTTCTAAGAATTGGAACCAGGGCATTTTTTTCAAAGTCTGCTACCACAGGTTAGGTAAAAATTGGATTTTGAGTATAAAATACTGAAAGAAAGGAAGAAAAGGCCTGAAGAACTATGTAGCTCTATGACCTATGCAGGGAGCAAAAGGTTAAGAATTCAGCACAATACTACATTTTTGATTGTATCCATCAAAGCAGTTGATGGAGAGTTTTTGGTAGAAATTGCTGTTTAAATAAAAACCTCAAAACTTACAGAACAACAATTAATTTTGTTTTGCATGTACATATGCATGAAACACGTACACAGTCCCTTCAAAGTATATTAGACTGTTCCTGAGCTTAAGTTTTAGCAGTTAAACTGGGTTTTATTAACTGATATTTAAAATAACTCACTTCTTTCTCTCATTATGATCTGATAAATACTATCGGAAGACATCAACTGTCATTGTACTTACATTAGACAGATGGGCCAGTTCTATCTCCAGGAAAGAATCTGTAGTTTTGGGCTCGGGTCGTATAGTAACAACGATGATTTTTGAATTAACAACCGTAAAATTCCTGGGAAAAAAAAAAAAAAAAAGAAAAATGAAAGATTTAACTTGGTATGAGGTTAAATGAGACTTCTGATATTGCATTTAAAGAAGTATCTCACAGGTAATTGTTGTGACTTTAGTTGACAAATATTCAGAGAGAAAATATATTTGGAAGTGGTGAAAACATTCACTCATTACCAATGTACCCGAAACATTAAACACTGAAGAGCAACAATGGCGGCAGAAGTGCCGTTCTTTAAAGTACGATTCACTAATTAGAAGAGTGTATTGATGACACAAGCATTCTGTCAATGTTTGAATGCATACCATTCGCTTCTCTCAACATAAACACACTAGCTATGTTATTTAAGAGACGGCAATTTTTCTTCCAAAGTGCTGTGTTGGACTTTTTTCTGACTGTTAACTTAAAATTGTGAAGATGGATGAGTGCAATGGGAGATTCTACAGTTCTGTTGATTCTGTGCTCATGAAAAGAACCTATCTGTTTCCAATTTTTTAAAAACCACTGCATTTGGTATGTGAGTGGACGACTTCATCATCTAAATACTTTTTAAAATATATTCCATAGTTGTGCCCTGACTGAAATTCCACCAAAGCCAATCAATTTTTTCTCATATATGTGAGTTTAGATTCAGTCTTATGTTATTATACCAGGTTACTCAAAATAATAATTTTCTGTTAAATTCTCTAATTCATCATCAATCTCTCTTTTCAAGTAAAACGTGGATCACTATGTTTTGTAGCTACCTTTCTAGGACAGACCTAGTATTGCCAAGGTTATGCTAATACAGGCATAAAGACATGTTGGCATGATGTTCAGATCCTTGCTTCTTATGACCCCGTCAGGCTTAGAACAACCATCCGTTATCAGCCTGACTGTTTCTGATGATTGTTACGGTATTTCCTTTGTATGTAATCCTGCTTTCAACACCTTCTGCTGATCGCACATAAACAAACATAAAACCTCATAGAAAGACATATTCATAGGTACATGTTATCAAAGAAGAAACTAGGCTGTTTATCTGTAATTACAATAGACAGTATTAATATTCTGTTGTTGTTCTTTAATTGCTGGTTTTCTCTAGGGAAATGGTATTTAGGAGAGGATTCCATTTTGCTGGATCATTGAAACAGGAATTGCCATGGCTACAGTAATAGAAACTTAACTCAGTGGGCACTTGACTCAGCACAAGGAATGAAATTATTCTTCTGGGGCGAAGTATGAATCCTAGTCCAATTTTACTCAGCCAAATCATACAATGGAAATATAATGGAAGTGGCTTTCTATTGTACTTAATTCCTATTTCTTCCCTTTGGTTGCACTTTAAACTCTCACACACTGTTGACAAAAACACATCTCTCCATCAGACTACATTTAATGTTCAGCAAACTTTCAGTGCGTTCTGTAGAGGGGGAGTAATGATGGTACCTTACAGTATATACAGTAGCTGAGTATCTATAAATGTTCCCAAGGCATCATTTAAAAAAAACCAAAACAAACAAAAACTCCAAATAAGTACAAACCAGATTTCTCTAACAGATCATGACAGTTGGAAATAGAGGTATTAAATAGAGCTATTAAAAGATTTTGTCCATTTTGGAAATTCACAGAAGCTAATGTAAATACTGATACTTCAGTACTTGATCATAGTTAATCTTCGTGATTGAGAAATGTTTCCTTTCTGTGTCTAATTTTGGTACAGTTCTGATGGTTCTAGGGTGAGATCCAAAAGAGCACTTAAGGTGCCTAGACTGCAACCTTGGTACATCAATTTTACCTCAGTCTCATTAAAACCCTACCAATCCACTTACGTACGTAAGTGACTATATTGCTGTGAAATGAAATCTGCATCACTCATTGCTGTCCTGTCTGGGCTGAATGCCTAGTTGCATATCTCATATTTCTCTGGAAGAATGCAATCTGGTAAATATATTCTAAACTCACATAACATGTTAAGATGCCACTGAACTAAAGCTCAAAGCATTGTAGTCACAAGAATTTCTCGCAAAATCCGTCGT